TTAAGCGTTCGGGATCGGGTTACGTTACGCGCTAGGGTTAGGTTTAGCGTTAGGTTAAGGGTTAGGTTTAGCGTTAGGTTTAGGGTTAGGTTAATGGTTAGGTTTAGGGTTAGGTTTAGGGTTAGGTTTGGGGGGGGTTAGGGTAAGGTTTTAGGGTTAGGTTTAGGGTTAGGTTTAGGGTTAGGTTAAGGGTTAGGCTTAGGGTTAGCTTTAGGGCTAGGTTTGGGGGGGGTTAGGGTAAGGTTTTCGCGTTAATTTTAAGTTTACCGCTCACAGCATGCTGTTTTTGTCGCACTGTGATGATGTCACGTACGCGCTTTAATCGGGCGCGCTTTAGTGGACCGCGGTTTTGACGTGCCACGGCATGTGTACTAGCCAGCTAATCTTCCGGTTACATGCATGAAGGCCAGCTGATCATCGCAAATGCACGCGTGCTAGAAACCCAGAAGAGGAACAGGTGATGTTGCATGTGCCAGGCGACATAGCTCCGTGTGCCACTTGTGGCACATGTGCCAAAGGTTCGCCATCACAGCCCTAGATTACCAAGTTACAGCCAGGGATATTAGGTTGCAATTATGATTCTTCTTGAAGGAATTTATAAGTGGTGTGACGAATAGCATGGTAGTATAATGTAAAAATAATGTGGGTTTGTTTTTTGTGTCTTTTTATAGCTCAGTCATTAAAGGAGTTTGCTCGATTACTAATTGCTGTAGAAGAGGAAAGGAAACGCCTGGTAAGTCTGCCTGAGAATATACTTGTAAAATTCCACTTCTGTTTCTACATCCCAGAAATTCCCTATTTCAAGTTTTGTAAAATCCCAGCAAGAACTAAACATATTTAAAAAAAAAAATACTTGGCAGATGACAATTAAATACATCATTTTGTACTTCACAGTCTGCATATTCTGCTTGTTTTATTCTTTTCACGTTTAAGAAACCAACCTTTTTTTTTTCAGAATTCTTGCTTTTACTGTATTATACCTGTTATACTTAGTTATAACTATAGTTCTAGTTCTCTTTTTTTAAACATGAAGAACATTTAGCTCAAAGACCCTAGATTAGAGTGATATAATCTGAAACTGGAAGTACAGCATAGCCCCTTTGCTGCCATCCCAAATACCTGAAGAAGCATTGTAATATAGGTACCTTAATCTATATTAGTCCTTAACTTACAACCATTTCTTTAGTGCAGGTTTACAACAGTTCATTTAGTGAATGTTCAAAGTTACAATGGCACTGATAAAGTGACTTACAACCATGTTTTACACGAACAATCTTTGTAGTGTCCCCATGATCATGTGATCAAAATCCAACTGGTTCATGCTTACGACCATTGCTGTGTCCCAAGATCATGTGATTCCCCTTTTGCGGNACGTCATATTGAACTCTATGGATTAGGAATGGGATGCCACTTACAGTAAGTTCATATGCGAGCAAAGCTAGGTGAGTGAATACTTTTGGCAATATAGTGTATGTGCTTAAAATCATACTACAGGAACCAGTTGGTTTTCTGCTTTAGTTTAGCTTAACTTAGAATTTGTACATGAGTAACTGGTGATGACTTTGACCCAGTCATGACTTTGCTGTTATACATTCTTCCATTCAGTTTGATTTATTTGTATCCCATCTGGTAATGTCTATAGGCATTGTTTTGATTGTATGGAATCTGTGTTAGCAATGAAGAAATCACTGGATTAGCACAGTAATTGTTGTCCTGCTTCATTTCAGTTTCTAAACCATATAGCACTTTCCCTTTTAATATTTCCAACTTTGGCATTTCAGTTACCAATCACAAGTGGCAGATGTTCTGTTAATTTAAAATTCATTAACCACCATCAACGATTGTAACATAAATCTGAACAATTGTCATACAAAGGTTTATAAAATCTAATTGACAGTATTCAGTAATTGATACCTCTTCGCTATGAAAGCAATAATGAACCTTCTTTGTCCCGAGGAGTAAACAATGTGATCTTCTAATTGTAAATATCTGATTTCAGTCCATCTCAATTTACTGATGCTTAAGATGTCAATGTGTAACTGATTCATTTAATCTTTTAATATGTTGATCTTACCTATATTTTCATTATAATTCTGTCCTGATAACTTTGATTTTTTTTCTTACATGGCACATCAGCAACACCAGTAGCAATCCCAAAGATTCTCAGCTCTTCTTCAGTAACATGTTGAATCCCATTCAACCCGAGGGGCCCATCATCTGGCACTATATCATAAATAATTTTATGTTTTTCATAAACATGGCTTTTTGGGGTAAAATACAAGAGTGGTTCAGCACTGCCTTCTTATGTGCTGTATGAAATTATGCTTTTGTCATTATTACTAAAATGCTCTTCCATCTCCAGCATCCTCCAATATCACTATATAAGTGCTTGCTTCCTATAAGTGGCAGCTGGAACAATCTCCATATCTTGGATGACCCTGATGGGAATATATTTTCTGGGCATGCATTCAATCCTCCCAGGAATATCCCACCTTCGCAATAAACTAGCACAGTAGGATCTGCAAGGGACAGAGAGTAAGTACAAGAACAAATCAATACAACTAACAACTAACTGCTTTGGGTGATTATTTTGATGAACAAAGCTCTATGCTTCCATCTGATCACAGCTGGCATTCTGACTGCAGAATCTATTTTGAGTAGATTCTCCTGAGGTGCTCTTCTAGGCAATCTTGTACTCCTCTGCCTCTCTACTGTTTGCTTCTCAACATGTTGCTTTTAGTTCTCTGAGTAGCTCAGAGATTTGGTCTTGGTATTAAATTCAGAATCCATGGGTGCAGAATTAGGAGCTGAGAAGCCTGGCTCTGTAATGGCTCTGTTACAGCTATGACTCACCAGAATCAAACTTGTAATGGTTCATTATAGCCTCTATGTTTCACTAGATAAAGAACATCCACAAAAACTAGAACACACCTAGCTTGAAATTTGTCTAGTTGCAGAAAAAAGCAAACCAACATGACTTTTTCTAAATTAGAAAACCTGGTTATTTTCAGATGTATTGAGACTCGGATTTTCAGACAAGCTTTGGCTAAGTTGGGAAATGTACACATTTTAAGAGTACCAAGCTGAGGAAATGAGAAACACTGTATTTAAGAAGTCAAGAGAAAAATTACAGTCTGAAGAAACTATATAATACAGGAGTGTAATAGAATATATGGATGACCTTGGGGAAAGAGGGGAAGAGATGCTGCCTAGGAAACAATCACACAAGAGAGGCAGGAGCCTCTAGTCGCTGACAGGTCAAAGAAAGAAACTTAGAGAGGACCCACCCTAATGGTTCAAGCAATTAAAAGTGGAGGTGGGAAGTTTGCACCTTCAGACTTTAATTACTTTAATGTAATGTAAAGTAAAATGTGTTCATCTTGTTGTTTCCTGGCTAGTTTACCAGGGAGGGCTGACATCAATCTTACAAGGCACGGTTGCCATATCCATCTGTGGAGAAAGGCTCAGATTGGCACAGTTTTAATGGATGTCCTATCTTTGCCTGCTTCCAACTTTCCTGCCCTGAAATTTCTGGAAAAGGGCATTGGTACTTACCTGATACGCCTCTTCTCATAGTGGGGGGAGGAGTATCCAGAATGGGTTGACCTTGTCCTCTCATG